TTTGTGTGATCGACAAATTATTGATCTGAGTCTGGGTGTTCTTTGTGTCCGTTTGGTGTATGTTTGTAAAGTCCCCCGCGACCCATGATATATTCCTAATGCGGGAGTTGTCTTTAAAAAATCACATTGGCTTTAGGACGGATGGTACTAGTATTACATCTTCCCTGATTCTGTAGTGCCTCTGGCATGTTTACGCAAGCAGGAGTCAATGGCTTCCATGCTATCATGCGCAAGTGGATAGCGTCTAATTAAGCAGAGGGGCAACAACAAAAAAATTCTATAGGTAATAGCGGATAAGTATGATTCTGCGTTTATGCAAAAATGTATACAATTCCTGGTCAAATAGAAACTATATATGTTTGCTTTTTGTTGTGATTTTTATTTTATACTAGTTTTCCGTCCCGGTTTCGCACGGGTGCAATGTAGATACTACTAATGTCGTGTCAGTGTGGAGTAATTAATTATTCTATTATTATGATAAGGCTATACTACAGGACATATTTATATACAATATTTATAGGCCCGCTCCGATCCTGTCGGCCGCTGCCACCCGGGACGGACTTACGGCTCGACGGCTGTTGGTCTCCCGCATTTTAAACCTCTCATATCTTCTAAAATATTTATATATAAAAAAATATTTATAAATTTTAATGATATGCTGTAAAGAGCAATCTTAATCTAAATTAAATGCACAACGTTTTAACGTATTTAATTTGATAAGGAATATTAATGTATTGTTTAAAATAGCTTCGTAAATAACCCATTATTTTTTTGTAATATATAAACGATAAAAATGGTTACCGTGGGTTATCCTTAGGAGATAGAGATATACCATTGCGGAATTTTTGATAGATCTTTTTAAGATATACATTTACGTAGTACACTATTTTGGTATATCTTGTAAAGTTTAGCCAGCGTTTGCAACGTAAGCGCACAAAAACATGTTTTTTACGTCAAATCTTTGAAATTCTCGGATTTTCTCAACTACGATATACGTATAAACCTTCCTCTTGAATCAGTCTCTAAACTGGTGAAAACCGCATTAAAATTCGTTGCTTAGTTTCAAAGATCTACGTACAACACAAGAAAGCGACTTTATTTTATACTATGGAAAGATTTTGCAAATTTGTGAAATAAACCTTTAAAACATAGACAAAGTCTGAAACTACTAAAAAATAAAAATCCTTGGAAATAAATAACTTAGATGTAGTTATTGTCTATAAACATTTCACAAATAAGTGATTTTCCTTTTTCAAAATAAAATACATATTTGACCAAAAAGATCTCACGAGACTAAATATATCGTGAGTCTGTTTTTGGTATAAAAAGTACGACGCATAGACTGATTTTAGTACGAACTATTTTTAACCGACTTCAAAAAAAGGAGGAGGTTCTCAATTCGACTGTCTTTTTTTTTATGTTAGTTACCTCAGAGCTTTTGACTCGGTGAACCGATTTTGATGATTCTTTTTTAGATTCTACGATTGTGAGAGAGCTGAATCTACGAGTATGGGCATAATAAAAAAAACAGATTGTTACAAAGCTTCGATATTTAAAAATAAACAAAAAGATCGGTTTATCCTTTTTAAAGGAGAATATGTAAAAATAAACCATTATATTTAAAACAACAAAGGTTAAAGCAAGTTTTATCGATTTTTAAAACGTAATGCTAATTATTGTTTTGAGTTATATAAGGAATTAAAATACTAAAAGATACGTTCTGAACTTCAAATTTGATTCAATGTTAAAATTTACAGTTAATGATTACAGTAGTAAATTAAATACTAAATATTAAAACTAGGCAGGCATGTTAAATACAAAATCAGAAACAAAAGGAAATAAATTTTAGAACTCCTAAACAAATTAACTAACAATATATGGCTTACACTCATTTGGTGCATGGGAATTTTGACCTGAGTTTAAATATGTATATCTAATATGATAATATCTAAAATGCTGTATCAGCTTTAGTTCATGAGATATATAAAAAAAACATTATTTACCAAAAACATCAACTTGTTTTGGCATTGAATAATTTCTTTAATAATCTAGGAGAATCACGCATAATTCCCCAGCAATAATCAGCTATCATATGAATGTTCCATCTGCCTGAATATCTATCTATTCTCTATCGTCTTTATCTCTTGGTGGAACCGTTCTCCATTTTAGGGTTCCGTATCTCAAACGGTAAAAAAGGAGCCCTTATAAGATCACTTTCTTGTCCGTATGTCCGTGTGTCCCTGTGTCACCACCGATTTTCTCAAGAACGGGTAGACCTAGCAAGTTGAAATTTATACCAGATACTGAGGTTTATGGTCCCTATTAGGTGTATAAAAGTCAAAGTCCCGAGTCAAAACGATAAAAATATATGGGCAAATTTCGATTTTCGCGAAAACAAGTAGATAAGTACCAAAATTTACCTTAATTTTCAACTTTTTTTATTTTTCAGAATTTTCTCTTTACTTGTGCTTTAAACTTGTAAGTACCAAAATTTATCTTTATTTTTTTATTTTTTTTTATTTTTTGGTATTATTCCTTTACTTGTGCTGTAAGACCTTGCTTTTAACCGAAATTGACAATTCTAGGTCAACCGGAAGTACCCTTTTGCTTTTGGATCGAAGACCTATATGGTAGTTCCCGTTGACCTAGAATTACGAAATTTGGCAAAAAGAAACGTCTCACAGATAATTCAGATAATTCCAAAAAATAAAAAATGTTGATAATTAAGATAAATTTTGGTACTTACAAATTTTCGCAAAAATCTACGTAAAATCTGGGTAGGTTACACAGGGTACCCTCGGCGCACGATTTCGACTCGTACCTGACCGGTTTTTTTCGCTAAAATCCCTTAAATTATATTGAAAGTGATCTAAATGACCATAGTGGTAATGTACTTATATTCTGATATTATATCCCAAGTTTTTGAAGCTATGCAGTATTTCCTCAACTAATTCCATAAGGGTGTCACCCTTATAATTTCCAAAGATTTTTTTTACAACCGCTACAAAAGGTTCCCACGCAAATTGTTCTACATCAGTCACAGAGGTCTTCAAATTTATTGTGTCATTAAGTAGTTGACTCACTTGAGGTTAATCAAAAACCTGCTTTTAATTATAATAATATAATATTTTCACACATCTCGCACACGGCTGTCTGATCCCAAACTAGGCAGAACCTGTACTATGGTTACCAGACTGCTGATAAACATACTTATATATTTCTAAATGCATACATATTATAGATAAATTACACCCGGACACAGAACAAATGACTGTGTTTATCACACAATTATTTGTCTTGGGTGGGAATCGAACCCACGACATAGCAGTCAGGGTCACTGACCACTAGATTTCTGAGAAATAAACTGAAAACATCGACTACTTCTATCTATAACTTTAACAAATTGTTTCATAAAAATCAAACTTCAAAAATATACGAGTAAATTTTGCAAACACAATGTGGCACCCACTCTTTGTTCTGTAAAAAGTAAAGTAAAGTAAAATACAAGTGAATTACAACTTCTGTAATCGATTTGCGCTGAGTTTTCAGTATGTATTCAATACAAATAAATAAAACATATCAGGATCGTTAACACAATATTTGGGCGCCCTAAAAAAAAACCACCCCGTCGGCCGGCCTTAGGTGTCCTACTCTGAGGAGGACCCGGACCATGTTATTTCAGGTCCTCCCCGAATTGACACCACGCCTAATCAGGCCCTATCCCATACTGGCTAAAATAAAATAATAAGATACATTTATAGGTTTTATTGTGAGACTTTACGTTAAGTTCGTATGATAAGGATACCATGGACGAAACATCGCACAAATGTTTACATATTGAAACAACCGAAAATAAAGAATGTTCTGCGTCTGCCTTCAACTTACAGGCAACGTATCATGAAATATTTCGGAAATTTAGAGAACCTGGAGCGTTTAAACGTGATCAGAGGGGTGGAAGGGAAGAGACCCAGAGGCAGAAGTCCCAAAAGATGGCCAGACCAAATCGCTGAACAGCTGGCAACGCCAATAAGTATCGCACTCCACCAAACGACTGAATGCAAAAGATAGAAACAGATTGTTGACAGCATGAAAGGGATGCACGATAATCAGCAGTGAGGGAACGATTAGGAAGTATTGTGAGAATAACTTTTTTTTAAAGAGATTTAAATTCAGAATGAGTGTAGGTTGGTAGGTAAACTAGAGCTGATGAGTTAAAATGAATGAGAATATTTTACATTACTTTCCTTATCGACCACAGATATTAATAGGGTTGCACCAAAAAAATTTTTGTAGGCGTGTGTTGTATTTATCTTCCTTAAGGCCGTGGTTACTTATCTCTATTATACTGACTACTTTAAGTCCCTCAGCGTTAAAATATATTAAAGTAATAAATTTCATAAATAAATATATTTTTATAAAAAAGAAGAATTTTATTTAGTATTAAAAAAAAATCTAACTTTATACGATTTGATTTAGGCATGATCGTTATTAGTTTTATGATTGATTTTCAATATAACTTTATTTTTTGCGTTCTCTTTACTTTTTATTTACGGTTTCGTTTCAAAAGGAAAAAACGGATCTCTTATAAGATCACTTTGTTGTCTGTCTATCTGTCCGTCTGTCATGACCCTTTATCTCAGGAACGCGCGGAGGTATCGAGTTGAATTAAAACCACAATACTCAGGTCTACATTCCCTTGAAGCTGTGAAAAATTGAAACTTCTAAGGAAACGTAAAAAAAGATATGTTTATGCTGTACTATTTCACTTATAAAACAAAATAATATATGTTTTTATAGGTTTTGGAAAGTGAATTTCTGAACTGAATTGACTGAACTATTTATAATATGTACCCAAAAATTTGTACGGAACCCTCAATGGGCGAGTCCGATTCGCACTAGTCCGGATTTAAAATTTTTGTGTTATCTGACACTAAATTATTTCATTAATCATTAAATTATTTTAAGTAAACAGGAAACGAATCATTCTTATAAGGACTTACCCGCATGGCCGTCGGATTTTCTGAAGTATCTACCGAGTAACATCCATTGACGTATTTTTCTGTAAATACGAAGTAAACACCCTGAAAAAAAAATGTAGCGTAAGCATCTTGAATGATCATACGAGGCAAGGTCAAACATCAAACATTGACTGTAATATGATTATATGTATTATACTCAAAAATTGAATCGGTAATCTGCTAGTCTTAGTAATAATTTACTATTTTACTACGAAAATACCTTTTATAACAGTTGTGAGATCGAAAGTTGATCGGAACTGAATTGAGACCGAACTTTTATTACGAGAATTGGCCTTCAGTACGATTCATCACCCCTATTCATTCCCGTGGGTGTCGCAAGAGCCGACCAATGGAGTAAACTACGCAGGACAATACCACTGCAAAGAGAAGGAAAACTTGACACAAACCCTATACCAACCCGTCTGACCATATCTGGTATAGTAGGCCAAAACCTTCATTCTAAGGAAAGGCAGCAGTCCAGCAGTGGACTATTAAAGGCTGTTGATGTAATGTGTGATGTGTAAAAATGTTCAAGTTTCAACTCACCAAATACGTAATATAAACACTAAGAATAATCTGAAATATATTGTAGGCAAACACAATATTCTTAAGACTATAGGGTTTTCTAGTCTCCATATACTTGGGACCTGCTTTGGTACAGAAATATAAGTACGATGCTAATATGGTCAGCAACGGGCCAGGACCCGATACAAACAACCATTCTTTTGTCCGAGGGTCTGAAACAATACAATACATAAGTTAGAAAGACATTTATAGTATAAGATATGAGTTAACAATACAAATAATAATTATAATACTTAAAAAAACCTAGTCATATACACCTAAAGCTAAGACATCAAGACGCCTAAAATTATTCTCTGCCGAGCCTTTTCCATAATTAGGTTGGGCGACTTTCAGTTTATTACTTGATTTTGACGTGAAGCGACCGCTGTCGGACTTTGTCGGACTTCTTAGGGCTCCAACAACCTGTAAAAATTGTTACAGACGTTCGCAGGGCAACCGGGACCCACGGCTTATCGTGTTCTCCGACGCAGGCCAAGACACCTCAAAAAATTCCTTGGAATTTGAGTCCCCCTCGACCCGATCGAGCATGCTTGGGGCGAATTTTGAGGATGCGGAAAACAACGAGACTCTCCCCAAAATACTCCTCAACACATGATGGAATGGAAGAACATTCGACAACTTTATTTTAAAAGCTTAGTATGCAGTCAACCAAACTTCTTAATCATAGCAATAACAGCATCACAATATGAAAGCTTTAGTTGTTGTTTTTCATATAAAGCCGCTAATCAACGCAGGCAATCGTTTAAAAAACAACAGATGTTATCTATGGCAAAAAATCGTCCTTAATTAATGATGACGATGCTTTATGGATGGAACAAAACGATGTCGACACAAAGAATGCTCCTGACGTTCAATTTCAGAACAAAAATGAAGTGCCTTATACAGTAATAACTAATATAAAGGAGTGGGTCCGAAGTCCATGGACACAAGATGATTAAGTTTTGTATCTTCAATTAACTTAATAGTCGTTTATTGTTTGCTAACTAGTCGTTTGTTTTCTGTGTCATCTAAAATATTAGATTTTATTAAAAAATATTTAATACACCAACATAAAATTAAAAAATGTGTGACGTCACATTCGGGGGGAAGGGGGTATTAAAAATGTGACAACCTGTAGCAAGGACAGGGGGAGGTGTTAAAAAGACTTAAAATACCTGTGACCTTATTCATGGATAGCCACATTCACTTATTCAAGCTTAAAATAAACTGAACTAAATGGTACAGGTATTTCGGAGATCCTACGCTGTTAGGGAAGTAACTTTACCAAATACTAACAGAGGGACCCTTATCAGAATCATAACTAGCCCGGTATCGAGGACGTGCACATGTAAGTAAACCATATTCATAATTAATAAAGGGCGATAATGACTACAATTCAACAATTATGTTTATTCTTAAACTACGTCTGTCAAAGTAAGCTTTAATAAAAAAGGTGTGTGCGTTTCCGTTGTAGCTTACCAGTTTTGATCCAGTGGCGACCCATAAAATAAAAATAAAATAAAAAGGTATGTAACTTTTCTAAAAAAGACTTTCTCAAATGGAAATAGTTAAGCCACTTTTGTAGTACTAAAGTAGATTTCTATGATAAATAATAATCATAACCACAAACATCGTACACATAAACGTCTGATCCCTAACTAGGCAGAGCCTGTGCTATGCTAACCAGACTGCTGATAAACATACCTATATTTTTTTAAATAAAAATATAATAACTAACACCCAGACATAGAACAAATTATCGTGCTCATCACACAATAATTCGTCCTGGGTACCCAGGTATTGGGAATTGAACCGCTGACTTGGCAGTCAGGATCACTTAGGATCAGGTTTCAATAGTAGTTTTCGAATTAGAGTAACCTACTGTATCCTGCCGCAATTTTTTAGCACAGAAACTGTTAACCTAAATTAAATATCTTAGAAATAAAAAGACGATAAATATTATTACAGTTACTTCAAGGATATACACGAACATAACAAGTCTTTTCCAAGTACAGCCTCGAGTATCACACAGAAGTATAATATATTTAAATTGGTAAAACTTTTTGATTTACACTTTATTGCAGTTCCAAAAATAAAACTCCACTACGTTGATCTCTTTGTTGTTTCAATGACAAGACGCTTTTATTATTCAGCTTTTATTATTATCCATATATATTTTGTTACCTATATAAATATACTATGTACGTAAAACTAGGTTAAAAACAATTAGTAAAAAAAAACACAACTATTAGTTCTGAGTAATCAATGCTTTATAGGCTTAATAAGATGCAATAAAATCACATTTTCCTATTAATGTTGTGTCTCAAAATTGAGGGTACCTGCTTAATGTATTCGTCGAGCACGGTGGGAATCAATAGGTAGTATTGATTTAGGTATTTATTATCTTAACAATGTTTTAAGAATTATTTTTAAGATTTATACAAATGCTTAAATAAAATATCTGACAAGCGATACATAGATATGTTTATCTCATAAAATTATACCAAATTTATAATGCATTTATGTTAAAACGAAACACTTTTAAGACGAAAATGTACAGTATAAAAATGCACTCACCTGATAATTCGTCAAATACATATTGATATCCCTGTAGGGCTTTTTGTACAACCGCCATTATATCGATATTTACAACTACAAAAAAATATAGCCCAAGCAAACAGTTATCTTCTTTTCATAGTGTATCAATTTAAAGTTAAAGTATTTATTTTCACTGTTTATTTTAAAAAAAAATACTAGTGAACTTTACACCTGCTCAGTAACTCGTGCGCAGTCTGGCATGAACTAAGACGTTCAGATGCAAACCCTCAAGTTTTATATAACATGCGACACCTGTTTCGAATATTGAAATCGCACACGTGCTTTTCGAACCACTGATGATGTTGTCTGTCATGAAACAACGATAGTTTTTTATTCAAACACATCGAAGTATTTAAGAAAATGAATAGCAATTACAATTTTTTTTAACTGTTGATGGTTTTTGGTTGCTTGCTATTGAAAAGTTCCACTTCCCGCCACTTTAAACGTTACACTAATCCCTATTACCACTACAGTTCAATACATTAACGAATGATATCGTATTTATTTTATTTTCCTTAATTAATGAAACAAATATAGTACAAACCGCTCTTGTAGGGAAGTGGACAGAGAATCTCGATACTTTGTCCTCATTATTGACGTCCTTGTAGATTTTTTTACGATTTTGAATTGTATACGTTCGATATGGTACAGAAATATTCCTTCGTTGCGGTTCCATAAACCAAGGTTGCAAATTTTAACGTAGTGAGTAATAATCTATACTAATATTATAAAGCTGAAGAGTTTGTTTGTTTGTTTTAACGCGCTAATCTCAGGAACTACTGGTCCGATTTGAAAAATTATTTCAGTGTTAGATAGCCTATTTATCGAGGAAGGCTATATACTATATATCATCACGCTAAGACCAATAGGAGCGGAGCACCAATGAAGAATGTTTCAAAAACGGAGAAAATTTATTACTATTGAGAGACGCAGACGAAGTTGCGCGGGTCAGCTAGTAATGTTTATAAGACGCGTATGAATTATTTATATATATATAAGTAATGTGTGCCGCCAAGGTACACAGTTTTTACGAACTATTTTATTTTTAATTAACTAAGGTTCTTTGTAAAATACCGTAAAAGGTCAGTGACGTTACTTATTACAATAAATAATAATAATAATATAATATTGTACCACATTCACACAACGCCATCTAGTCCCAAACTAAGCAGAGCATGTACTATGGGTACTAGACAACTGATATAAATACATATATACTTTTTTTTTGTAAATTCATACTTATTATACATAGAAACACCCAGACCAAATCAAACACTAAATGTTCATGCACACAAATGTTTGACTTAAGCGGGAATCGAACCCGTAAATGTAACTGATCATTTTTATCATTCGTAGTCTTTTTTTATTTTTTATTTTTTACAGATACAGTACAGAAAGTGGTAGATAGTATTTAAACATTGTATTTACAGTAACTTGTCGAATCTCAATGCACATTGGGTTTGTCACAAAACCTTGTTGACAAGTCAGTATGGTGTTTACTACAGTTCTACATTCTTTTATCAGCGAATAGTCGATAATATAGTTAATAGTTTGTGCAAGGGTAATTAAACGTATGGAAGTATTTATTGCATTTAATTTGAACAGCATCGTTTTTAAATTATAAAACTAAGGATATTAGGTATTAACCCACTTAAACAAATGACTTTGTAATTTAAACTACTGGTGACTTATCAGTTGCATTTCAGATACCAACGTCAGAAATAATAACAAATATTTTAGGAACTGTCTAGAGATCCATAGTAAACATAGCTGGGATTTTGTAATATAAACAGACAACATATCTAGATAATTATTCTTTGATATTAAACTTATTATATATATAAAAGGAAAATTTCAGGCACAAATGGAAGACAGTTCAAGACGCTGTACTGGAAAGGGCTACTTAAAGCTAAACTTAAAGTCGCTCAGCGTGCTATGGAAAGGGCTATGCTCATCGTTTCTCTAAGGGATCTCACCAGGACTGAGGTGATCCAGCAGAGAACCAAGGTCATCATAGTCTACTGGATTAGCATGCTGAAGTGGCAGTGGGCTGGCCATATTAGCAACAGAACCGACAACCGCTGGAGTAAACGAATCCTTGAGTGAAGACCGCGTCTAGGCAAATGTATCGGACGCGAGGAGACAGCAGAGTGCCCGCACTGCGCAGCCGACTGGGACACCGCCCAACACACGCTGGAAGACTGCCCCGCGTAAGCGCCTGAACGCGAAGTCCTGGTCGGCCAAATTGGACGAGATCTGTCTCCCCCAGCAATTATTGCTGCCTCTAGTGGTCTCTTCTTGTGAAGCTGTAATATTCCAGAAAGGAACTGCTGAACGGGATCGGGAGAGGGCCGATCCCGAACGTAGAGGACATCGGCGACGATACCAGCCGTCGACGAGGCCGCGGGCCGCACAAGAGTAGGGACCTCTGGTGGCAAAATTGATTGCTGCTGTAGGTGATAGAATGGCAGCCTGATTACATTAAGGTGCAATCGGGCCGCCACGCCGCGATTGAGGGGGAAGTGTTTTCCCCTGGGATAGGGCCTGATTAAGCATGGTGTCAAATCGGGGAGGACCTGAAATAGCATGGTGCAGGTCTTCCCAGAGTAGAACACCTGGGTAGGGGTACTCCTGGCTCCTGAGTCCCCCGAAGAGCAGGAGATCCGAAGGGATTTTTCCTCCTGTCAACATAAAAAAAAAGATGCCTATAGGCCAGGTGGAGTGACGATCTGCGCAAGATGGAGCAGGAGCTGGATGCGAGAAGCCTGCAATTAATCATGGCGTGCAATGAATGTGAGAGGCCTATGTTCAGCAGTACTCAGCGATAGATTGATGTTTTTTTATGGTATAAGGGGGCAAACGAGCAGACGGGTCACCTGATGGTAAGCTACTACCGCCGCCCAAGGACATCTGCAACTCAAAAGTCACAAGTGCGTTGCTGCCCTTGGAGTCCCTCCCCCCTTCATATAAGTCCATCTATATTAAAAATAATCTAAGAAGTGCTGTTTGACAAGTGAAACTGACATTCTGTGACTAGAGAACGATTTAAACCAAACATAAAACAATTCTAATTTAAGTTAAACAATTTTTAAGTAAGTAATAATTTATACTGCTGAGTTGAATGAATGTTATGTTATATTACAGTTTAAAAAAAAAGACAAAAAAGACAACTCCGCATTAGGAATATTTTAACCAAATTTGACAATTCTAGGTCAACCGGAAGTACCCTATAGGTTTTGGGTCGAAAACTTATATGGTAGTTCGCGTTGACCTAGAATCACGAAATTTGGCAAAAAGAAACGTCTTACAGCACAAATTAAGGAATAACTCCAAAACATAAAAAAAGTTGAAAATTAAGATAAATTTTGGTTCTTACAAATTTTCGCGAAAATCTACGCAAAATCTGGGTAGGTACGGAACTCGTACCTGACCGGCTTTTTTTATTAAGTGTTGTAACATTTTAGTCGTTGATAAGGTTAATAATAATCTATTTATTTTACAAATCATATATTATCAAAGGACTTATTAACCAGAAATCGTCATCATTATAAATAAATCGTTATTAATTAATTCGTTCTTTTCACATATATTTTACACATCTAGTATAATTATACGGCACTGAAGAAATAAATTCGTATTTATATTGTTTAATTTAGTAATTCAAATTTTAAACTGAAACATCTACATTTATACCCACGTACAGCAAATACAATAAATCGTAACTTTTTATTTAAATGATTTATAAGTACATATGTATGTACTTGTAAATTCTGCTTTTTTTAGTTCTAATTACCTCGTATGTTTATAAATGGATATTTGTTTTACAGTTTTTTAATTAAAAAAATTATTAACCTAAAGAAACTATAAAACAAGAAATATGGCCCTCACATTAAAAACAGAAGCTTTCTAGCTTCTATTACACATAAATAATCTAGTGCATTATTTATGACAATGTCCAAAACCGTCAAATTAAAATATGTACGTATGACATCCGCGGCGGTCATTGCGGCATCCCTCGTCTCGCGACTATATAAAAATATATAAAACTAGAACGAATATACCCTCCAGCTGAGAATGTCTAATTATATTGAGTGGCATATCACCTGCTCCTCAGGGACTTAGGGTTGAAGAGTATGTGTTGATTCCACTAAAACAACCCCGACGGCCGGCCTCAGGTGCCCTACTCTGGGAGGACCCGGACCATGCTATTTCAGGTCTTCCCCAAATTGCAACCATGCCTAATCAGGCCCAATCCCAGGGAAAACACGGGATTGCGTTGTAATGCGATCAGGCCGCCATCCATCTAAAAATAGAACAATCCAAGTGTAAACAAAATAAAAGTGAAATTAAATAAACATTACCGGTTTTTTTCATTTCATACTTTTCAAACCGATACAACTTTGTAACGGCGTAACTCACACAATCGTATTATAATAAACTTTATAAAACTGTGCAATTATAAATCAAATTCTATTTTATCACAAGAATTATATATACAATTGATAAAAAAATTAACGACCATCCAAAGCTGTAATAATTAAGTTGCAAGTGTTTTTTTTAATAAATAAATGGTTTTTTGCTAAATCCACGCAACGGACTACGCCAAAAAAACACATATATTATACACCAGAGCCTTTGATTTACCAAAGTTTGGTAAGACTACATTTATAATTGTTTATTTAAAAAAAAATCAAAAACAACGATTTTTTTGCATGTTGTAAAAAAACAAAATAACTAATTGAAGTCTTATTTTGTAGATGTTTTTAATATCTACAACTTATATATTGTATATTTCTTCGTAAAAAGTCGTGGAAATTAATTATAATGGCATAAACTACGTCTTTGCAACTTTAACAGCAAAATTACAAAATAATGGCACGGTTGCATTCTAGTTATATTATCATGATGTACCGGGAGGAACCAAAATATGTCGAAATATTTCGGGTTTTATGACACCTATGTAGTCGACCAGGAAAAGGTCCTGGTCTTATTGGTATATCCATACTAATGTATATTAAATATTAGTTAATTAAATTA